GGGGGGGGAGGGGGGGGGGATGGGTCGCACACACTCAAGCCGGCGCCAGGCACCGGCCCCTGCGCGAGCGGAGCCCAGACCAGGATGCGATCCCCCGGTTGTCCTGAGCCTGGGCGATGTGTCATCATGCCTCCGGGCCGGCATAATGTCCCCTCGCGAGGGCACGCAGGTGGTCCACCCGGGCGGGGCGGCCGGCCTGCCAGCTCCGGCTAAAGAAGGCCCTGGCCTGGCTTCCGGCCGGCCCGCGCCGGGCCGGGAATTTGCACCTGCGCGCGGCGCGCGGCGCCGGCCCGGGAGCATCGCCGCTCGCCGGCGGTGTCGGCCGGCCAGCGTGTGTGTGTGTGTGTGTGCGCGCGCGCGCGCTCGCCCCCGGCCCGCGCGAAGTTCCAGTCATTACCCATGTATTCGCTTAACCGAAAGCGCGAAGCACGTCCGGCTTTCATAAGCCCCGGCGCGCTTGGGCCGCATTTCGGCCCGGCGAGGCCGCCGTCGAGCCCGCCGGCCGGCTCCCCGGGTCCAGGGACCAGGGGAGCCGGCGGCAGGGGCGCGGGGCACGCCTGCCTGCTCTGTTGCTCCCCCCCCCCCCCCCGGCCGCACCGGGCCGCACCGGGCGGCCGTGTGCCACCTTTCCATGGCGCCTGGCCCCCCCTGGTGCCGGGGGGTCGGGGCAGGAATCCCCACGGCCGCCGGCCGATCGGCTCCTGGCCGGGCGTTCCCAACGCGCTCAGGGCCCGGGGTGCGCGCCCGGTCGCGTGCGTGCGCCGGGGTCCGTACGCGCGCGCGCGCGCGGATCGACACGCCTGTGCGGTGTGTGTGTGTGTGTGTGTGTGTGCGCGTGTCCGGGCCGCGGGTGGGCGCCCCGAAGTGCGCCTGCAAACGGACCGCCCTGCCCTGGCGTGCGTCTCGGAGGAATGGACCGCAGGGCCCCCCCCCCCGGCCGGGTGCAATTTCTCGCCTCCCCGGTGTGTTGGGGGGAAGCGATGACGGCGTGAGCCGATGAAACCTACGATCAGGACGGCGGGCGTCGCCCGGAGCCGGCAGCTACCAGGCCGACTGAAACGCCCTCCCGCCGATCGACCCGGCCCGGGGC